CATTATTGTAGGGTCTACCTTACAGTTTAAAGCGCCTTGAGGGGACTGTTTGTTGTGATTTGGCGCTGTATAAATAAAATTGAATTGAAAGTTTAGTTTTAACCATTACTGAGCATTATTAGCAGCATAACCAACATTATTTTGTGTCTCCCATTTTTAGGTGTCTTTTATATGATAAGAGCATAGATATGTTTTCATAGCATCTGTTTTGTAGAAACTACAAATAGAAGATTTAGTTTAGCAAAATTTGATTTCACTTTGCTAATCATCTCCTAACCAAGCTAGCTTAACCCTTTTACAAGCTTAGCAACCAACCAAAGCTTGTTTAAATTGCTTATGTAACATTAGTAGTGAGATTTTTATTAATTTAATTCATATGCATGAATATGACGATTTATTAACTACTATCAGTGAATATTTATATTGTAACATTTTATGTCCTCTGACATTAAACATGACATCATCTGATCATTTTAAAAAACCTATATAAAATGATTATTTATTTTTAATTTCTTTGGAGCCTTGGCACAAGTGTAAGAAAGTAAACTTTTTTTCTTTCAAGGAAAGTTATTTAATCAGTTCACTTTTTTTTATTTTATAAACACAATTCAGTACCAGTGTGATATGTTTCCATTCAGGTGTTCAATCTGTGGGCCTTTGCTAACGTGACCTTAGTTAATCTAGAGCAAGTGTGGGCAATACTTTCTTTCCAAAGAGCTGCTTTAACCTAACCACTTTATGGTAAGAGTGTAGACTTTTACCACTCATCTGAACCAGAAACCTGAATTGTGTAATGCACGTGCAAAATAAGTTTTTTTCGGACCTCTGCAGAAACAAGAAAAATACATACCCTACATTTAAATATGACACTGCTGGTCATGTGAAATCTCACATTCATTTTGTTGTAACCGTGTAAGAGAAAAAGATTCTGTTGAAATAATAGCAATGATTTTTTTTTTTTTTAAACTGAAGCCAACGCAGTCAAAACAGGGGTCACACCAAGACTTTCAATAAAACTTACCACTGTGGAAACAGCCCTCAGCCCTGACCTCGGTAAGCAGTGGACGGATGAGCTTGTGCGCTCCGTATCTTATTTCAGGTCATACTGAATAAAACATCAAGTTCATTTTGTAAATTGTTTTCAGGAACCTAAAGAAGTCCAGCGGCTTTCAAGCACAAGACTGTCAGAAAGCAGGACTGAGTCAGTAGCCAACAAACATGCAGTTTCATGGGTACATCAGGTTTCAAAAGACAGAGACGGTGTCAAAAATTCATCCTGAGGCTTCAATATAGGACTTCACAAACCTGAGTAATGTCACAGTACTTTTGTCCATCTGTTATACTGTATATCCACTTTGCCCACAGTAATGATGGCTCATAACATGTGGGCAAAGTGATACACTGCAAGACAATCATGACATTTACATTATGTTTGGTGCATCGGGAAGTTTTCACTAAATTACTGACAACAGAGGCAAGCATTTCAAATATTAATAACCCGTTAAACTGTTTACACTGTGCTGTTTTCAGTATTACTCTTAAGGTCAGCGTTCAAACCCCAACCTACAGTTGTGTCTATTCATGTGCAGTTTTATGCTGGCACCAAGACATGAAATGAAACAGACAAAATGTTAAGTAAGAATTTTTACTTTGAGGAACAGTTAATTGCAATGCAAATCCACATGCTTTGCAGGACAGACCAAATCATTCAGTGCTAAAAAAGAACAGATTTGCTGCAGGGTTCAATTCAGAACAGAACTGCTTGCATTAGAAATTTGCCCTTTCACTCTAATGTAAATGAAGTAATACAATACAAACTATTTTTTGTATCTGTGGATATAATTAAACTATTTGGCCTCACTTTGACACTAATTAGTGGCAACATTAAGGAGTAGATCTATTCGATTATATCATTTCTCACACCAATCCCTGAATGAAATTAAAGCAACACATACCCTAATGAGCAATCGTTAAACCATTGATTCTCAAAAGTATCTAAGCCACTTTCCTCTATTATTTAGTTCTGTACAGAAATATAATAAAACCAATACCAACCAATCCAATGAAATAAATTTTAACCTGCTTTGACTTTGTGCAATGACTCAGCTAAACTTGTTTATGAAAGACTACGGAGTAGGCTCTGTAAATAGCACCCTGTGTCTTTGGGAGGCA